AAGCTTTCCCCCAGAATGATTTCATTGACTTCCTTAAATAATTTGCATATATCTGTTAGTGTACATTTGCTTCCCTAATGAGAATATATAATCCCCTGAAAGCAAGTGATATATAATATTTTATACATATTTGAATTATGCCCTAACTTAGTGCCTAGTATGATGCTTTAATTTTTTGCAGCATTCAATATATTTGTTATATACACATAAATAAAGATAAGATATAATCCTTATTCTCAAGGAATTTAAATTTAATTTGCAATAGGAGGGAAAAGATAAGTAATAAGGAGAAAGTAGATGACCCTACCTAGAAACATGTGAATGTGTATATGTATGTGCATATATAAGATACCAGAGGGAGCTGATGTTCAATATGCATCGGGTATATTTCTACTGTAGAAGAGCAGCTGTTATTTTAATTTATTTTCTAAATTTAGATCTAGATATATTGGGTTTTCGCACAGTAAGGTATTCTTGTGGCCTCTGAGATATGAAATGTAAGAAAAAGGCTTTGGGGTCACTTACAGCAAGAATTCGTAGGAGATTCTTTATACCAATACCCTTTTAGGAAGTTTTAGATAATTTCAGACGTTTCAACCTGACTCAGTCCCTTTTATTTACCATTCACAGTATAGTGTAACGTTTCTTGATCACTGAACATATATTCTTTGATTTTCCAATGAAAGACCCTTTGCAATCAGCAGAAGAAAGGTTCCTTTGATGAACTTAATTTTTGTATTTCCTGAGTTGATGCTGATATTTTTACATATGAAATATTCCACTAAAATAAGCTTTTCTTTGCTAATAATTGCAGATGGGTGAGGAAAACTTTCAGTACAACTTATTATTCTGAGCACTCTGTACTTTCATGAATGTTAGTTAGACTTTATTTTATAAACCATTTAATACAAACCATCATTTAATAGCAAGCTCTTTTATTTTTTTTCCCCATAGGTCCATAGCACTAGGAGCATATACTAGGATCTAGATGCAAAACACTTACAGACAGAAGGTGTCCTGGCCAGGTTGCTAAGCTAAAATTAGTACAGCCATCTTTCTTTTTGGTTTTTCATTTAATAAACCTGTTTCCTTGCATACTTGTTTTATTTGAACTTTTTGAGTTAGGTTACGTAAAAAGACACCATTTAAGCAGCAATAGCCCAAATGATATCCTATAATCACTGATTACATGTTCCCTATTCACTTAGCTGAAACACCAGAAAGTTACCAAAAAAAAATCCACACACACACAAAAAATTCGTACTGTTAAACCCTCTGAACCAATAAAAATGTTCTGAGGGTACCACAACACAAAAAGTTTTTTCTCCCCTCTCTTTTAAGATTAAAGTATTTTCTCTTATTCTGAAATTGTCCATAATTTTTGGAAGCATCTTTGAGAGCAAGGAATAAATCTCCCACTTTAGCAGAAAAGCAAGACTCATGATGAGATTGTCAAAGGTGGCTGATCTGCCCGCCTCAGTCTCCCAAAGTGCTGGGATTATAGGCATGAGCCACTGCGCCCAGCCTTAGCAAAGTTATTTCATGATCAAACTTGTTATGTTTGAATAAGAGATCTGGATACTTTATCTGTTTCTATGTTTTCTATTTCATTCCACTTCTTTTTCTTTCTCCCCCACGACATTTTTTTTGAGATAAGGTCTCATTCTATTGCCCAGGCTGGAGTGCAATAGAATCTGGTGTGATCATAGCTCACTGCAGCCTTGAACTCCTGGCTCAAGGGATCCTCCTGCCTCAGCCTCCTGAGTAGCTAGGACTACAGGATGGATGTATTTATTTTCTTTTCCCTTAAGTTTCCTGGGAAGGCTTTTGAATGGCAGAGAGGCCAATGGTAGAAGCCGCATCACAGAAGGCACCACAGTCCTACCCATGCAGGCAGACATCTGGAATGTAAGGAAAGGAGGCTGGGGAAAAGCTCAGGATCTAGTTTTCTCTAATGTTCCTAGGACTGAGTAAATACAGTAATCTAGTGATGTTCAGAGAAACAATACATTTCTCCTGATAGTACGGAGATAGCTAGGACATGCAGTTAAATAGGGACTGGCAGACACCTGCAGCTTTTCATTCAAAGGCTCAGCATATCCAGTTACTAAATGAACCCTGACAGGCCATGCATTCCCAGCGAGTAGGGCAGTATCCTGAGTCATAACTCTGCCTAGCACGGTGGCTTTCTCTCCTCTCTTCTTAAAAGAGAGTATCTTGTAGATCTTGCTCCTCAACTTGTGATAGTAAAGGCTGAATCTCAAAATACCAAAGTTCAAGTGCTGTTGAGAAGTAATAGTGTAAGAGGAGATTGCAAGGGGTGGGGCTGGGTAAATGAGTGAGGCACATATACAAGGAATAGGTTTAGATTTAGAGCAACTGCAGCCTTAATGCAGTTGGAGCTCCTCTCTTTAATTTCTTAGTTTTAGGTATGTTTCACATTAAGCTGGAGGCCCAGTGCTTATTTATGCTAATTTAACATCAGTATCTGACCCACCCTTTTAGTAACTCAGACCTCTTTCCCGTAATTTTGAGCTTCATTTTACAGGCAAAGATTGGCCTGTACAACAAACCAATGGAGTCACAAAAAAAGGTTTGTTCTTTCTCAGTTTATCAGATAGTTTACCATCCATTTTGGCCCCACAATTGGAGTGGACTGTTCACATCTTAAAACACAGTGGATTTTCCAGGTAGCCTGTATCTTAGGAACTTCCTTCTACTCATCACAGTTTTGTCAAAAATAGATCTTTATAAATGCTCAAAATGCAAAAGAGAGAGAGAGAGAAAAAAAACAGCTGTAGTCTTTCAATGTGTTACGCAGTCCGAAGTGACCTTATCTCAGGCTATTTGAGGCACAAAGCAAGATTTTTACATTTCAGCTTAAATCATGATTAAAACAACTGTTTTTTTTTTTTTTAAATAATAGTGTTATAGTAATATCTCAAAGAACTGAGTATCACCTAATTCTATGTGGCAATAGTTACAGTATCAGGCTGCCAAGTTTTAGTTTGAGATAGCCTTTGAGGGAGAGTAGGACAGAGGAATTCCTAATGTTTTTTCTTTTAATATTTTGTGGAAACATATTCCAGAGAAACAATCTAGAATTTCAGAATAAAAACTATGTATTTTTCAAAACTCCTGGGTAGAGTTCACCAAATTAAAAACACAGACACTTAACTGAGACTTCTGCTGCCAGAACACGTTAGTGAAAAGTTGTAAAGTGAGAATTTAATAGGATAAGTGCCAGTTCCTTGCTAAACCCAAACTTTTAACACCTTAAAAGATGTAATATGTTGAAAATGACTTCATATTTAACCTCGTCAAAAAGAAAGAAATCCAAATGTTCATGTGGGCTTGGATATCTCTCAATGTCAAGGCTTGGGCAAGAGGCCACCCAGAGACGGGGCACCATATCCACAGCCCATGTTCTTCCCCCAGTTTCAGTCCAACACATGACTTAGCAATTTACTGTATCCACGTTATATTCAGGTCCAGCTGCCTTAACATAGGCTCTCCGTCTTACAGAGGGGCAGCTGCGAATGCTGGGAAATTACCCGTGTCCTGAGAATGAACTAGCATGATTCTTTTTTTTTTTTCTTTTTTGAGATGGAGTCTCGCTCTGTCACCAGGCTGGAGTGCCGTGGCACGATCTCGGCTCACTGCAAGCTCCGCCTCCCGGGTTCAAGCGATTCCCCTGCCTCAGCTTCCCCAGTAGCTGGGACTACAGGTGCCCGCCATCACACCCAGCTAATTTTTGTATTTTTAGTAAAGATGGGGTTTCACCACGTTGCCCAGGATAGTCTCGATCTCTTGACCTTGTGATCCACTCGCCTCGGCCTCCCAAAGTGCTGGGATTACAGGCATGAGCCACTGCGCCCAGCCACACAGTTCTTATTGTAATCGCTAAGCCTCTTCATTATCTTCATATTCCTTCCCTGTCACTGGCTACTGCGCTACTTCAGGGTGCAACTAGATGAATGGGCCTTTCCCTTCCTCCCTAGGGCAGAGGTGCAAGGCTATTTTTAGAATACCGCTTATATCATTAGTTCAGTTCCTTTTTCTTATGATCTTCCGGCAGGGAGAGCCTCAGAGAACAGGCCTTCCATCCCTATTCTAAAATTGGACAAGACGGGTTTGGAATTCAGATTCTTTTCAGAGATGGTGCCTGTAACATACATGACACAAAACCTCCAGCGGGGGGCTGAACCAGCACCTCACAATCAAATACATGAATATTTCACAGTAAATGTTATAAATAATACTGTAAATAGCCTCAAATAAGTATATGGCAAACTTTGCCAAAAAATGAACTCTAGTGTTAAATTTGCAAAAGAACGTTCAGTTTTCCCGGCATTTAGGATTTTAAAATTGAGGACAAGAGATTTTAGATCTGTATTATTAGGTTTTCAAAAAGTTAAGACAAATTAACCTATTTGTTCTTAGAGAAAAAAGAGATGGGGACCTATTTACAAATAGCCTAAAGGGGTCTTTCACAGTAATCTTTTTGACATAGAATTTGACTATATTGAACAGGATTTGATATAAGTGGGGTTGTCCTAATCCCTGGCATATTCTATTCTGCAGAGCTAGTCTGTGACTGTGCTATTGTCGTGGAATCTGAGCTGCCTAGTCATGCTTCAGAGCAAGGGACCAGAAATGGGCAGCCCTAACCTCTCTGGGACGCTCAGGAACATTCCCAGACTAGAATAAAAACCTCAACAAGGCAAGAGAGGGAGCCAACTGGCATGCATGTGCTATGACTCCATAATAAAGTAATTACACAGTTTGATTTTTTAAGCATGTAAAACCAAAAACCTTATCTTCTTAATATAGGGGATTTTTTTTTTTTTTTAAAGCCCAAACCTTTGAAGTTTTAAAGGTGGGATTGGGAAGATTATATTCTAGGTTGTCATGCTAGGGGCCATATACAAGGGAAGGGGTACGTTTTCCCTGAGATCAGGGGTTGTCACCATTGAAGACATATAGAGATCAAGGCTTACTTGGCTTCCAGGGCCAGTGCAATGATGCCTGCAGCCATGGGGGCTGAGGCCGACGTCCCAGTGTGGTTGTCCGTGCAACGCTGCCTCAGATCTGTAGTGATCTGGAAAACAAAGTGAAAAGTTTAGATCTCTGAGGCCAATGTGAGTTATCTGCAAGTAGAAAGAAATATACTCACAAAAATAGAATGGGGGTATATGTTAAATACTTGTTTTAAATTCCTTGTTTCTACATGCCTGTAAATCATATCACTTCCAGAGAATTGCCTGCGTAGATCAACTCTGAAAAGGCAAGGATTTGGAAACTGAACTCCATTTCTGTTAAAACCAGGGTGAAAACCAGGATGAGCCTATGGATGAAAACATAAAGACTGTGCAAATACCTCTTTAAATTCTGCTCTGTAAGCATCTTGCTTGCTTCTCCCTAGTGCCAGTTCTGGTTAAAACTGAAGTTCTTTCCTTGCCCCAACATTTTAAAATAATCAAACACATTGTATCAAATCCAGACACTGAGCAGGCATTGGCAACATACAGAATAAAAGTACGCAGTCCCTGCAGCCCAGAACTCTTACCTTGGGGAACCACAGATTTCAAGCCAAAAGTATGCTCTGCCATAGAAAGAACCTTTGGTTGTGGACCTGTTTCTAGAATCAATAGAAACGTTGCATGGATGAACCAAGAGTTCCTCAAAGACATAACATGGATACTAAAAATAAGGCTGAAGCCAGTGTACTTGATATGCAATTACAGCACTAAGTGTAAGCTTGTATATTCGAGAAAATTAGTTATTTCTCCATTTTATTTTTTGTTTTTTTGTTTTTTTTTTTGGGACGGAGTCTCGCTCTGTCGCCCAGGCTGGAGTGCAGTGGCGCGATCTCGGCTCACTGCAAGCTCCGCCTCCTGGGTTCACGCCATTCTCCTGCCTCAGCCTCCCGAGTAGCTGGGACTACAGGCGCCCGCCACCGCGCCCGGCTAATTTTTTGTATTTTTAGTAGAGACGGGGTTTCACCGTGGTCTCGATCTCCTGACCTTGTGATCCGCCCGCCTCGGCCTCCCAAAGTGCTGGGATTACAGGCGTGAGCCACCGCGCCCGGCCTCCATTTTATTTTTTAATCAAAATGTGAGAACTAAGTCATTTTTATCCTCTTGGCTTAAATCCAGTTCACTTCAGCTGTGACGGAATAATATTATCATCCAGCAAAGGCAATGTTTCTCAACCTTTGTTTCATTATTTTCTCACTATGGAAAAAAATACATTAAATTTAAATTCTACTTAAATACTATAGAATAAGATTCTAGAAACCACTGTAATAGCTCTAAGATTTTTAAAATCCTCTCTCTTGGACAAGAATCCATTTTTTGACCTCTTGGGGACATTATCACCTCTGGGGGAGTATAGAGGGCTGTGAGAGGAGTTAGTGGTCTCATTGAAGTTACTGGAAGACTATTAGTATCTGTCTTTGGCATCAAGGCAAGTATATTACCATATATTACAGATAAAGGTCAGCAGAAAGGTGAAGGGGGATCCAGGCAGCTGAAAACAAAGCCCTCTCCTTCAAAGTGCTTCTTTCAAGAGGAGTGTGAAAATCAGTTAAATTTGGTTTGGAAAGAAATTTGATCTTCACAGGAACAAAGTGCTTTATAGCTCCTTAGAGACAGAGTCTCACTTAGAAGTTTATTCTAGGTCACACGAAGATGTCTGAGTAGACTCTTTTACGACCTCTCATGGATCTAGATAGGCATTCTGGCTGATTTAGTTTCACATGAGACCGTAAGTTCTTACTATCCTTTCTTCGTTCCTTTTGACAATGCTAATGTTATCAGATTACCTGTACTAGATGGATGTGGGTACTGATATAAAAGGAGAGAAAGAATGAACAAAGATCTATAGAACTCCATAGATATGGTGGTGGGGAAGGAGTCAAACCTTTCACTATGCGTTCCTGAATGAATGAACGGTGTGCAAAAACCCTGAAGCCATCTACTGAACCTCGACATCTGATGCTTGCAGGATGTTTGGGTAAACAGGGCCCTACCCACTTCTATGTTAAGAAATCGGGCTTTTCATTGTTGACTTTAAAAGGTATTTTTTTATTATGTTAAAAAGCATATAACATAAATCTACCCTCTGAACAATTTTTATGTGTACAGTACAATGTTGTTAACCATATGTACAAGCTTGTACAATATCACTAGGTTTTTTCATCTTGTAGAAGTCAAACTCTGTACCCATTGAACAATTCCCTATTCTCCCTCCCCTTACCTCCTGGCAACCACCATTCTTGTTTCTACTGCTATGTGTTTGATTCCTCTACATACCTCATGTAAGTGGAATCATACAGTATTTGTCTTTTCATAATAGGATTATCTCATGTAGCATAATGTCCTGAAGGTTTATCAATATTGTACCATATGACAGGATTTCCTTACTTTATAAGGCTGAATATATTCCATGATGCCACATTTTCTTTATCCATTCATCTGCTGATGGACACATGGGTGGCGTCTACCTCTCAGCAATTGTGAAGAAAGCTGAAAATGCACATGGGGGAGCAGAAATCTCTCTTAGACCCTGTTTTCAGTTCCTTCAAATCGTTAATTCCAGAAGAGGAATTGCTGGATTGTTAAAAGGAATTGCTGCCTCATTTGAAATTATGGGTGAATTTGCAGCCTGATTTTCCAAAGCCCTAAGTCAATGCATGAACACCCCAGAAGTAGCCTGTTTCCAGGTGTCCAGATCTGCTGTTGTTGAGACGGCCTTGCCTGCATTCTTCCTATTTTACCTCACCCCATGGTCACATTCCTTTGTTCAAGTTTTATTTTTTTTTTCAATGATTTGTGCCTGGATTCAAGACTTTTCATGATATTTTCCCACTTGGCTCTCCTTGCTTATTCTTCAGCTGCACCAGACACTTTCAATGCACAGAAACAAATCCAGAATAAACACTCCAAGTGTGTGCAGCATTTGAGTCTAATAAATAACCACCTTCAGCCAACCTCAAATGTGAACAATCAAAATTTTATATCTTGCATTTGCAATAGGAATATGCTTCGTCTGTACAGTGACCAGGTATCTATGCATACAACATATACTTTAATATAAAGTCACTTAGTACATTTGTATATAAACACAAATGAAGTGTTAAATGCTATTAATGCAGGCAAGTCTGTGTAATTCCAAATCCCCATTGTGTTATAATTTTTTTCAACCACTTGAAATGAAACTTGAGACTGGTGGCTAGGGCTGGATGGGGTGGAGGAGAAAGGTGATGGAAAGGAGTATTTAAAAGGAATGGGGAGAAAAGAAACAAAAACATCCCCCGCTCCCTTCTCATCCTGCTTGAAATGGAAGTTCCAGCTGGGTCATTTCATGAGGACGTTACTATCAGAGGGAGCAATATTTAGGTGTACATTGCTGGAAAGATCTAAGGCAGGGTTTTCGTCATTAAGAAAAGCCACAGTATTGGAGTTTTTGTGTCTATCTTCAGAAATAAAAGGCAAAGACCACCAAAGAGCAGGCAATCTTGAAGAAAAATGACATTATGAAAACTGGAACCATATGGAATATCCCCATTAATCACAACACATGTATATAGGATCTGACAGTGTCATTTAAAGGCAAGTTGCATTCAACAGTTGGCCCGCGACATGGGGCAGGGAGCGCAAAGATTCTACATGCAAGAACTTTCACTTTAGATTCCATTTTAAAGAATGTCTCAGAATGTGGTCTCAATCCTGATGGCACATCTTGCATGCTCCAAATTCACTACACAAATCAGAAACAGAATTTTTTCTCCAAAGAACTTCTCAGATTGCTCGAGAAAATATCATTTGCGCCCATCAGAGTGATGGAAACTGGAAAGGACACCAGGCCCTGAGCCAGATCAAAGCTGTCCTGATCAGCAAATTAGATTTTCAGTATCTCTCAGGATCAAGTAGCAGATGGTTTTTTGGACTCCACTATGTTAGGGATGTCATCTTCCTTTGGTGAGAAGCGGTGAATATTGTTCAGGTTTAGACAGCCTCCACTAAGATGACCCATCACTTTTTCTCACCTTAAGCAATTATTTCCTAATATTTCACATTTCATTACTTGTTCTGATTGGACATTTGGTTTTAGCCTGTTGATGTAATTCTCCAGGGAATCTCAGTTCAGATTGACTTTGGCCATAAGTGACAAGCTTTCACAGCAACCCCACAGTCAAGCGTTTCTCTCTCCTTGATATCTAGTGATCTATTTTACTTTGAAGGTGCCATATTGTCTCATATCTGTTAAAAGAGCAACTGAACAGATACTTTTGAAACATGAAATGATTTTACTGTCTGTTAGGTTGAATTTGTTTCTGGTGTTGATTTTGATTTGACCTAGAATTGTGCCAAGAAAGCTGTTTCAGACACAGCTATGGGGGAGAAGGGCAGAAACTAAATCTTAAATGTGTCAATGACTAAAATAGAAGAAGCTGATTTATTAAGCACAGTAAAATAAAAAGGAACTGAAGACTAAAGAAAGCTTTTTGCGTCCACAGAAGTCACAAAGACTGGTGAAAAATTCAATCATGACTGACAAGTCCATACAAAATCCCACTCTCATGTTGCTAAAAGAATCTGTAAATGTGAAGTACAAATAGATTTTGCTCACAAATGGAGGGTTGCTATCACTAAAGAAGAAGCCCACGTTATATCGCTTTTGTACCTCCGTAACGTTCAGCTCAGTTCCATGTACCAAGAGGCACAATATTTATTTGCTAAGTTGAATCCCTAAAATCAAGCCCCTTTATATTCATTTCATTCTATACTTCAACTCTTCCGTTCTTAGAAAACAGTCAAAGTCATTCTTTTTCCACCATCCAAACAAAACTCACAGAAGTTTGTAGTCAACCTACAAAAATTATGTGTGCATATATGTATATACAATCCAGGGTTTGAAGTACAGCTAATACTCTCACAAGTACTACAGGTTGTGTATCCCTTACCCCAAATACTTGGGACCAGACGTGTTTTCAGTTTCACATTTTTGCAAATTATGGAATATCTGCATTATACCAGTTCAACATCTCTAATCTGAAAACTTGAAATGCTCCAAAATCTCAAACTTTTGGGATGT